TAACTGAAAAATTGTCAAACTTTGAATAAAAAAGTCAAATTTACATTCTTTTCTGGTTTAGAGTGTGTTTGTGTGTGTATATATATATATATGGTGGTTTTTTTTTTTTTTTTTTTGGAGACAAAGTCTCATTCAGTTGCCCTGGGGTTGAGTGCTGTGGTGTCACAACTCACAGCAACCTAAACTTCTTGAGCTCAACTAATTCTCTTGCCTCAGCCTCGCAAGCAGCTGGGACTGCGGGTGCCCACCACAACACCCAGCTAGTTTTTCTGTTCTTATAGAGACAGGGTCTCACTCTTGCTCAGGCTGGTCTTGAACTTTGGAGCTCAAGCAATCCACCCCCCTCAGCCTCCCAGAACACTGGGATTACAGGCATGAGCCACCACACCTACCCTGTTTTCTGATTTTAGTTTAGATACTCAGAATACTTTAAGATAACTAAGGAATAATCACTCTTCAGATTCTTAAAGACAGTAACTATAATATACTCCCAGTTCACTTGCATTCTAAAGTTAAGCATGATTTATGTAAACCAACATGTAATATTTGATTTCTCAGATTATTAAGTAGTAGTGAACCAGTAGTAAGCCAGTCTATACTACTCAGTTTACCACTAACTAATATATTACACCTAGATAAAATCATTTTTCTTTACTTCTACTTTATTTCAGTAAAGCTTTCTACAATGTCCCATTCTCATACCTTCTTATCATAATCCTTCTACTGTACACCCTCTTCTACATAAAACTATGACTAATCAGATAAGTCTTATACTATACCCACTTTTCCCACATAAAACATAAAACTATGAATATTTTTGTTGACTAATTCTTCCTGTATTTACACAACTTCTTTTGATTAATTTTTTAATTATTATGGGCGCTTTTTTTTTTTTTTTTTGGAGACAGAGTCTCAAGCTGTCATGCTAGATAGAGTACCGTGCCATCATAACTCACAGCAACCTCCAACTCGGGCTCAAGTGATCCTCTTGCCTCAGTTTTTCTATTTTTAGAAACTGGGTCTCGCTTTTGCTCAGGCTGGTCTCAAACTAGTGAGCTCAAGCAATCTGCCTGACTCAGTCTCTCAGAGGGCTAGGATTTCAGGTATGAGCCAGCCACGCCTGGCCTATTATGAGCACTATTAAGTGGTATATATTTACAGGGGACATGTCTTGATATAGGCATACATTGTAAATTAATCATATCAGGGTGATTTGGATTATCTACCACCACAGACATTTATCATTTCTTGATACTCCACAACTTCTTAATCAGTTCTTCAGTACAGATATATTAAGGTTGCATTGCTCTACCTGTAATGCTGCTTCTGTAGCTATCTAGTTTATCAGTAACTTATATCCCAACTAAAGTTAGAATCTCAGGAGCAACAACTGTCAACTGCTTTTATTGCATTACCCTAAGCATCTACTACAGTGTTACAATGCAAGAGTCAAAAACAAAACAAATGCATATTCAAAGAGAATATTTTTCAAAAACCAAACCTAGAGAGTACAGCCTATTTGGTGATTTAAAAAGAAACTGTATCTAATCTGAAGGAAAATACTTTGTTATTAATATTAAGTAACTCAATTGTTACTTTTGTTTGAGACAAAGTTTCAAGCTGTTGCCCTGGGTAGAGTGTCCTGGTATCACAGCTCACAGCAACCTCCAATTCTTGGGCTTATGTGATTCTCTTGCCTCAGCCTCCCAAGAGGCTGGGACTACAGGCGGCCGCCACAGTGCCCAGCTATTTTTTGTTGGTGGTGGTGTTGTGGTTGTCACTGTTTGACAAGCCGGGGCCGGGTTCAAACCCACCAGCCCCAGTGTATGTGGCCAGTGTCCTAGGCGCTGAGCTACAGGTGCCGAGCCTATTAGTTACTTTTAACTTCTTTTTCCCCTTTTCTTCTAACACAACACAGGAACTCACTCAGTATCATATTCAAAAGTATAGTGGCCTATACCAGTTACTTGGGAGGCTGTTAGAAGAACTGCTTGAGACCAAGAGTTCAAGTCCAGCCTAGGCAACATAGCAAGACCCCAAAACTTTAAAAAAAAGTAAAATAACACAAAATTCACATACATGCACATAAACAAGCCACATAAAATAAGTCTTAGAAAAAGTATTAAAATGCTAATAATTTTACTGATTATTTTACAAAAGCGTACTAAAAATATATAGAGAGAGAGAGACTTTTTTACCTGATGATAAAATCCAGCTTGAGCCATGGGATCTGGCTGTGCCCACCGATAGCCTACGTGAGGCCATGAGGTAAACGTCTCCCGCCTGTTAGCTTCACTATACATCAGTGATCTAAAAGTAAACATTGAACTGAAGTTAGGCATCAAATTACAGTGAGACTCCTAGAGGCAGAAAACAAATTTACTGGGTTATCAGCAAAAACTGGGAAGGGTCTAATGATCAATTTCAAAATTTTAAAATAAAAGTGATAATTTCTTTAAAATTTCCCCTTAAATAGTTAAGGAAAATGAAAATCTACTTGATGACTACAGTTGATAAACAATTAACCAATGTTGCTAACTGCCAAGGGTAAAACAGAAAGTCTGGAAATGTAGAGGCTGAGTATCCCATACTTTCATCACATGCCAAAATTTCATAATTAGATGAAACTATATACCAAACAGTGGTTTTATCTCAACTATATTACATATTTTCAGGTTTAATTTTTTTTTCTTAAGTAGAAAGCAATTTTCTGCTCTTCTTCAAACCTGCAATCCCAATACACTGGGAGGCCGAGGCAGGCGGACTGCCTGAGCTCTGGAGTTCAAGACGAGCCTGAGCAAGAGTGAGACCTCATCTCTAAAAATAGCTGGGAGTTGTGGCAGGCACCTGTAGTCCCAGCTATTGGGGAGGCTGAGGCAAGAGGATCACTTGTACCTAAGAGTTTGAGGTTGCTATGAGCTATGACCCCATGGCAGTCTACCAAAGGCAAAGTAAGACTTTATCTCAATAAAAGGAAAAAAAAAGAGAGTCTCTGCATTCCATCCAAATGAGATAGCAATGATACTACAGAAAATTAAATTGTTCCCAATTATTAAAATTACTATTAAGTTATTTATATTGTAATAAAATCACTTAACAAACAAAAATAGGGCAACTAATAAAGCAAAGTCACAGTTTACAAAATAAATAAATAAATACTGCAATTGAATAAAAAAGCCATGCTTAAAATAACATAAGTTAGAAATTGAATTTATTCAGTAGCACTTTGGCTAACATCAGCATATACTATTTATAAATGCATTTTGTAAAGATATTTAGAAGTCACAATTCATGTCCAATGAAAATGTAAAAATATAAAGCATTACATGAGAAGACAAGTATCTAATCAAAACTGCTAGGTTTTATATTTCAGAATAAAATGTCTAAACTTCAGTACTTTTAATAAGAACCTGCTAACATTACATCAATACCAAATCATTTAAGTTTTTAAGTGATTACTCACTTTTTAATTAGTTTTACACAAAACAAGCACTCAAAAAATTGCTACTAAAGAAAAAGGTGATGGATAAGGAATGATTTTTGTTATATAAATCTAAGGCAGGCAGCATAAAAATCTTAATTCAAAACTGTCCCAATAACTGTTTTAACTTTTCTTTTTTTTATTATAAAACAATAGATTACTCTTACCTTATACTCACATTTCAGCTTGGTTTTGAAGTCTGCCAAAATTTATCTCAAAAGTCACAAAATAATTCTTTTATATTGACTAATTCTAATAATTTAAGTTTATCCCAGTATTTACCAGGTAAATACTAAACTGGAATTTTCAAATATAGTTTTATAATCCCTTCAAATATCTTTAAGGTACTAAAAGATATTTTTTAACAATAGCAATTTAAGTAGTAGTTCAATTCAATTTAGTATTTCAATAGCAACTGGAATTTGTTCTTCAAACTATTTTGAAATTTTTTAAATCATAATCGTATTTTATAGTTATTCCTAGTTAATCCAAAAGCTAATCAATTTAATCTCACTGTCATCTCTCTTAATAAACAAGAACCATACCTGTCTACAGAACGGCCTGGCCCCACTCCGAGTTCTGGACGTGCACTAGGTAAGAGGTAAGACAATCTGTCCATCACTGAGGACGCCACAGGTAAGGCAGCAACATTTTGATTTATTTTCTTGAGTTCATTTACAATGGCACTGGCAATGGACTTCAACACATGATGAGGAAGATGAAATGTAACTGTGGCCCACTGAAAGAATATGGGAGCATAAACAAAGGAAAATGTACTCAAACGTTTTAACCAAAATCATAACTTAATCATTATCAAATAAAGAACAATTTATCAGTCTCAAGTCACTTTACTCCATTTGTTTATCATTTAAAGCAAGAATGTGGGCTCAGCGCCTATAGCTCAACCGGCTAAGGCGCCAGCCACGTACACCTAAGGGGGCAGGTTCGAATCCCCAGCCCAGACCCGCCAAACAACAATGACGGCTGCAACCAAAAAATAGCCGGGCGTTGTGGCGGGCGCCTGTGGTC